TTTTTCAGGATTCTTTGATGAAGAGAAAGTTCAAAAGCATTTAAACAGTATTTATTTGGAAAAAAACAAAACAAAATGTAGTATTAAAGTCTTAAACTCACTTTTGATCAATATAATGCAAATAAAAACCAAAAAAAAAACTTGCTGACCCCAAACTTTTGAACAGTAATGTACTCATTTAAACATTCAATTAAATCCACAAACTAGTGTGCTGTAAATGTGTTCCAGGAAAAGCTTTTCTGTGCTTTAGTTACAGTTGTTAAATCAGAGTTGTTCTGGAGCTGTTCATGCTTTAATAAATTAAATACATCAAGTTAAAAATTTCTACAGTTTCTTGAAGATTCTTTTATTTTGTATTCAAAAAGTTAAAATATTCATCAGTACATCAGAACAGTTGCTGAAATAATGAACTGTGATGTTGAAAAGCATTTAATATGTGACTAATGCAGAAGTCGGTCTGTTCTTGTGATTTCTTTTAAATTAAATCTATATATTGTTAAATAAACTACAAACAGTGTTATTTTGAGTTGAAAATTTGATGTTTATCTGCTTAGCCCCAGGGCATCCAAGATGTAGGTGACTTTGTTTCTTCAGTAGAACACAAATGATGATTTTTAACTCCAACCGTTGCAGTCTATCAGTCATATAATGCATGGCAATCAGGGTTTGAAATTAACACCCGCCAAATGCGGGTAAAAATCAGCTGTGGCGGGTAACGCTGTCAAATCACTAGCCAATTTGGCGGGTTACTTTTCGTAAATTATGTTTACTAATTAATTTCTTGAGGAAGTTCATGTAAGCCAAATCTGCACAGATTTAGTGTAAATACTGAACTCGAGACTCATCATGATATATTAAATAAGCCTAATTGCGCAGCATCTGGGCATCGGTTAAAGTTAAAAATCATCAAATGTGTTCTACTGAAGAAACAAAGTCACCTAGATCTTGGATGCCCTGGGGGTAAGCAGATAAACATCAAATTTTCATTTTTGGGTGAACTATCCCTTTAATTGAATGAAAAATACTCTTGTCAGTTGAATAAATGTTCTTACTAGCTATGTTGCAATGTTTAAGAAAACATTTCAGCACTCAGCATTATAACTGCAACAAAGAGTCACATTTGAACAAAACATTAAACATTAATGACTTTCCATTGTTTTTGTTTCAGAAAAAAGTGGATCCGTTTGTTAGCATAATTAATTTACCACATCCCTTCAAGTCGGACATCAACAAAATAGTGGTTTTCACTGAGGTGGGAGCATCACTCTGTGGTCTATTATGTTAAACATTACAGGTGTCATTGACTGAACTGATTTGATATAATTTACAGCTCCATTAAAGGAGGTTGTACATTTTACATGCATTAATTATAGAGTTATGGCTTTACAGAATCCAGATCAAGCCAGAATAGCAATGGAGAATGGAGCAGCAGTTGCAGGTGGAGCAGAACTGGTTGAGAAGGTAAAGCTCATGAGAACTTATCATTGCTGGTAGAAATGTAATTCCTGCATATACTGTTTAAAGGTTTGCTTGTGTAAAAAATGGCTGTTCATTTTTATTGTGTTCAAAAAGTTCCCACTTACCCTGAATTCAATCTGTGTTTCGGCTATCACATAATAATAATATATTGATTTTGCAATTACAGTTGCTATTCCCTAATTACTTTGTGTGCCTTTTAATCAATGTTGATGACAGATTTTAACTGATGAGATCACAGCAGATTTTTACTTGGCTGAGCCAGACATTGTACAAAAGCTGCTCCCTTTGAAGAACAAGCTGAGGAAGAAGTTTCCCAAGAGCAAGAGAGGTCAGTGAGTTGCACATGTATCAGGCATGCTCTATTAAAGGGGTCATATGATGCTGCTAAAAAGAACATTATTTTGTGTATTTGGTGTAATTAAATGTGTTTATGCGGTTTAAAGTAAAAAAAACATTATTTTCCACATACTGTACATTATTGTTTCTCCTCTATGCCCCGCCTTTTTGAAACGCGTCGATTTTTACAAAACAAATCGGTCTGAAAAAGCGAGGCCAAAGACAAAGGAAAAATTGAAATCGCATCATATGACCCCTTTTATGTGCAACTAAACGGAGGTTAAATGGCTCTTTGTGTTGCTTGCATCAGGATCCGTTGGAATGAATATTCCCAAAATGCTTGCATTGTTCAAGAGTGGTCATGAATACATGGTTGAGGACATCTATGTCAACACACAAGTTGCAACAGTAAGTCACATTGAACTTCTTTGAGTGACAGACACTTCTGTTCGTAATAAAGTAAGAGAGAACAGGGTGGTATCTGCTTATTTTCACATCTATGAGGCTTTCCCCCCCACTTTGTTAACATAATTTGGTTTTTTTAAACAGCTGGACATGCCAAAGGAGTATATTCTGGAAAACATTCGTGCCATTGTAAAAGATGTGGCAAGCCATAAACCAGCAGAATTTGGTCAGTAATTTATGTATTAAGTGATTTTATTTATTGTCCTAACCACCTCACAAATTATGATTATATTCACGTTCTTTTGTGCAAATGCCTAGGCTGAATTCCTTTGATCATTTAAAAACTATACAGTTGTGAGTACATGTATACAGTCATGGTCAGAATTATTGGCACCCTTGGTAAATATGATCAAAGAAGGCTGTGAAAATAAATCTGCATTGTTAATCATTTTGATCTTTTATTTAAAAAATTCACATAAATCTAACCTTTCATTGGAGAATAAGAATTTAAAATGGGGGGAAATATCATTATGACATAAATGTTTTTCTCAAATACACGTTGGACACAATTATTGGCACCCCTAGAAATTCTTATCACATCTGACCATAGAAGCCAGTCCCATTAGAAGTTCCAGTCGTGTCTGACAACAGAATATGCTGGGGATTGTTTTTGGATGAGA